CATAGTATTGGAAGTCCTAGCCTCAGCAATCAAACAATAAAAAGACATTAAAGGCATTCAAATTGGCAAAGAAGCAAACTCTTCCTCTTCGCCGATGACATGATACTCTACAGAGAAAACCCAAAAGCCTCCACCCCAAGATTGCTAGAAATCATACAGCAATTTGGTAGCGTGGCAGGATACAAAATCAATGCCCAGAAATCAATGGCATTTCTATACACTAACAATGAGACTGAAGAAAGAGAAATTAAGGAGTCAATCCCATTTACAATTGCATCCAAAAGCATAAGATACCTAGGAATAAACCTAACCAAAGAGGTAAAGGATCTATACCCTAAAAACTATAGAACACTTCTGAAAGAAATTGAGGAAGACACAAAGAGATGGAAGAATATTCCATGCTCATGGATTGGCAGAATTAATATTGTGAAAATGTCAATGTTATCCAGGGCAATTTACACGTTTAATGCAATCCCTATCAAAATACCATGGACTTTCTTCAGAGAGTTGGAACAAATTATTTTAAGATTTGTGTGGAATCAGAAAAGACCCCGAATAGCCAGGGGAATTTTAAAAAAGAAAACCATAGCTGGGGGCATCACAATGCCAGATTTCAGGTTGTACTACAAAGCTGTGGTCACCAAGACAGTGTGGTACTGGCACAAAAACAGACACATAGACCAATGGAACAGAATAGAGAACCCAGAAGTGGACCCTGAACTTTATGGTCAACTAATATTCAATAAAGGAGGAAAGACTATCCATTGGAAGAAAGACAGTCTCTTCAATAAATGGTGCTGGGAAAATTGGGCATCCACATGCAGAAGAATGAAACTAGACCACTCTCTTTCACCATACACAAAGATAAACTCAAAATGGATGAAAGATCTAAATGTGAGACAAGATTCCATCAAAATCCTAGAGGAGAACACAGGCAACACCTTTTTTGAACTTGGCCACAGTAACTTCTTGCAAGATACATCCACGAAGGCAAAAGGAACAAAAGCAAAAATGAACTATTGGGACTTCATCAAGATAAGAAGCTTTGGCACAGCAAAGGATACAGTCCACAAAACTAAAAGACAACCTACAGAATGGGAGAAGATATTTGCAAATGACGTATCAGATAAAGGGCTAGTTTCCAAAATCTATAAAGAACTTATTAAACTCAACACCAAAGAAACAAACAATCCAATCATGAAATGGGCAAAAGACATGAAGAGAAATCTCACAGAGGAAGACATAGACATGGCCAACATGCACATGAGAAAATGCTCTGCATCACTTGCCATCAGGGAAATACAAATCAAAACCACAATGAGATGCCACCTCATACCAGTGAGAATGGGGAAAATTAACAAAGCACGAAACCACAAATGTTGGAGACCATGTGTAGAAAAGGGAACCCTCTTACACTGTTGGTGGGAATGTGAACTGGTGCAGCCACCCTGGAGAACTGTGTGAAGGTTCCTCAAAGAGTTAAAAATAGACCTGCCCTACGACCCAGCAATTGCACTGTTGGGGATTTACCCCAAAGATACAGATGCAATGAAACGCCGGGACACCTGCACCCCGATGTTTCTAGCAGCAATGTCCACAATAGCCAAACTGTGGAAGGAGCCTCGGTGTCCATCGAAAGATGAATGGATAAAGAAGATGTGCTTTATGTATATAATGGAATATTACTCAGCCATTAGAAATGACAAATACGGGATCCATGGGTGGCGCAGCGGTTTGGCGCCTGCCTTTGGCCCAGGGCGCGATCCTGGAGACCCGGGGTCGAGTCCCATATTGGGCTCCCGGTGCATGGAGCCTGCTTCTCCCTCTGCCTGTGTCTCTGCCTCTCTCTCTCTCTCTCTCTGTGACTATCATAAATAAATAAATTTTAAAAAAAAGAAACGACAAATACCCACCATTTGCATCACCGTGGATGGAACTGGAGGGTATTATGCTGAGTGAAGTAAGTCAATCGTAGAAGGACAAACAGTGTATGTTCTCATTCATTTGGGGAATATAAATAATAGCGAAAGGGAATATAAGGGAAGGGAGAAGAAATGTGTGGGAAATATCAGAAAGGGAGACAGAACATAAAGACTCCTAACTCTGGGAAATGAACTAGGGGTGGGGGAAGGGGAGGAAGGCAGGGGGTGGGGGTGAATGGGTGACGGGCACTGAGGGGGGCACTTGTTGGGATGAGCACTGGGTGTTATTCTGTATGTTGGCAAATTGAACACCAATAAAAAAAATTTATTATTTAAAAAAAAGAAAAAGAAATCCTGAAAAAAAAAGGCAATTCAAATATATACTAGGGGAACAATATGGGCTGGAAATCCTGCCTTGCATTACCAGACAACTCAGGATATGACTACTATTACCAGGTATAATTGCCAGGCAGACAAAATAAGCAGGAGTAAGAGGATACAGATACAGCAGAAGGAAGGATCATTCTGGAAGCTAGAGTACCCACCTTGAGGTCGGCACACCTACTCTAATGACAGGGGGATGCTTGCTCCATTGGACAGTGATGTGGAGGCCAGGGTCTTGGGTCTTCCAGGAATTTGGCTCTCTATTAGTAGACAGATCAGAGACTGCCTGCCGTAGGTTCACCAAATCCTCCTTTCTTGTCCTTGGGCTTACAGCTTCTCTATATTTGTTGATGGGCATTTCTTTTGAAGGTATTGCACTCAACACTGAAATCCAACCCTTGTTCCCCAGGTAACTCCTTATAGCTCCTTAATTAAGCACCATGGCTTTGTTATGACACATACTACACCAGAAGCAGTAGTGGGGCACACTTTGGGGTGAAGGCATCAAAGGTGTATGGACCCGCCTGTAAGCAGTGAGGGTAGGCAAAGGATTGATATGAGGTAGAAGTTTACCTATATCATGGTGTATGAGATGGAGAATATACTTCTAGAATCTCCCATCTGTATAACATAGAGAAGGAGCATGACTGGAGGATGAGAAAAGAATAAGCAATGCAGAAGCCATGGCAGCTGTGAGGCTGTGTGTTTGTCACACAGGGCAGCCTGATCAATTATTCTCTGCAGGCCAGGACTCGGTTTTTGGACACCAGGTCTTGGCAGAATCTACATTTGCTCCATCCTCTGCCTCCGTGAGATTCAGTCCTTGCAGGGGTCTCACTCCTCCACTGGCCCTACCACAGGGGCACACAGCTGTTCCATAGGACAGAACATGGAGTGCTGACCAGGGAAACACTCCTCCCAGCCAAAGCATTCTAGCTGTAGCCTCTTTGTCACTGGGTGGGATGGATGTCGAGAGAGCTCTGTAGAACACAGGCTGGGACACCAGCTGTCCTGATGGAGAAGACCAGCTTTTTCCAGTAGAATTCATAGTCCAAGGTGCTCACGCTGGGGCAAGAAATAGGTCAGCTGGCAGCATGGTGTACTCACATGATAGGGAGCACTGGATATGGATGTGGGAGCTCATTTCCTATATGGGTCCTGGCAGGAACTTTGCCTTTCTTAATAGTCTCTCTCAGGGTGTTTGGGGCATGGCCAAGCACTGGGAAGATGCTTACAGAGTCAGGCTATGTGAGGAAGCACTAAGAAAGAGTTCCTGCAGGGCATGCTCTTACCGCCCATCTATATCTGATGATGCTCTTACCGCCCATCTACATCTGATGATGATGCTGGTTGATCTTGATCTCTCTTTCCTAAGGCCTCCTGGTCAAGTGCAGCTCCTAGGAGAGGTGGAGAAGCTCCTCTAATACTAGGAGCCCTGGGATGCTTCTGAGGTGGGCCAGAGGCTCTGGCCTGAAAGAGGCAGGTTTTCTCCTCTGGACAATCCTTCCCTGCTGCCCAGCAGGAAGCACTGGACTGGAGCGTACCACTGCACACCTGCCTCCAGCAAGGCCTGCTTGCCTTCCTGAGTTCTTTGCACTTGATTCCATGTCCCCACTGGGCCTATGTGATCCAGTCCCTGGATTTAGTCCCACGACCACCTCAGAGCCTCTCTGCTGGCACAGAGCAGTCAGGAGTCTGTCCAATGATTAAGGTCCACTGATTCACCATGAGACCATGGGCAACACCCATAGCTACCCTCAATAGGCAATTAATCCTTGGTAGCATCACCATGAGCCCCCTGTTCTCTACTATGTAGCCTTTTCCTGGATTAATAAAGAGAGAGAGTGAGACTATATGGAGGGGAATTACAGAAAAGTGTGGACCTTTAAATTGATGGAAGGCACTGGCGTCTCAAGTTCTGGTATCCCATTCCAGGCCCCATCCCAAGAGTGGCCGTTCTGGTGGAGGATGTGGTGGGAGATGTTAGTGAAGGCATTCACTTCCATGGCCATGTTTTTACCATAGTGGAGGAGCAGTGAGCAAACAGGGAGTCCAGGCAAGCATCCCCCTCCAGCCTATTATGGTCTCTCAATCTCTTGGCCTTGAGCATATTACTTAACTTCCCTTGGATTAGTTTTCCTCATTGTTTTAAAGGGACAGTAATCTGAACCTCACAAGGAGAATAGGAAGAATGGGATGGTGTGGATCAATTAAGAAGAGGCCTTGTTGTGGGCCTCCTACTCTGTGACCAATGTCTAGCCCCACCTCCCTCATGTTTAACTTGGCCCTTCTGATCCAGGCTAAGGAGTATTCTTGTTAGCTTTGGGAGATATCACACATGAGAAGTTTCTCCGTTCAGTGAGCAGATCAACAATGAGGCAGGGCTTCAGGGGCCTGGCACGGGTGTGGGGGCCAACAGGAGAGAGAAGAGAGAAGTATGACAAGGGGAGAGAGATCAGAGACCTGGATCCAGCGAGTAGGCACTCTGTGATCTGCACTATGTCCTCAAAGATCACAAGCACTGAGAGTAGAATAGTCAGATGTGTGGAGGTTTGTTCTGGTTTATTTGACAGGAACAATCAGTTCAGACAGTGGGAAGACTGCTTTCCTGTTGACATCCTCTTGCCTGTGGTGAAGTCTTCATGCCTTGGTGTGAATAGAGGTTTGGGACAGCAGCCCAGCCTCCTCACCCACTCACTGGAGGGTGCTCATGCAAATATTCCCACAGAAGGTTGAACAGCATATGTTATTTGCTTGACAGTCTTGATGATATTCACATGAGCGTCTGCACATGTATATGGTGGTGTGCTTTTCACAGACCTTGATTTCCTTAATCAGCTGTATTTCTGAAACAGAGCAGGAACAGGGTCAGTGGAACCAGATCCCTTAAGAGCACTCTTCTCAAGTTTAAATCCTCTCCCAAAGACCCTAGAACCTGGTCCCACACATGACACTCTTGGACTTTTCAGGGAATTCACTTTCTGCCTTTCACCCAGTCCTGGTGATGTATATTATATGTATATTATATTAAATCCTATTTCCCCCCATTTTCCCCTAATAGATCTCAATGCCTGATCTTCCTGGGCCCTCTCCATACTCTGTAGCCAGGACTTTGTCTCTCCTGTTAGTCATGGCCTTGGTAAATATTCTCCCTAGAATCTACACTCTGAGAAACCAGCAGAGTCTGAGATATCCTGCAGATGCTCTCCACTCTCCAGAATTTTCAGGGTCCAGAGAAGAAGACTTGCCATTTTGCCCCCTCTCTCCTGTCACTGTCCCTGACTCCAGGGCCCTTGCCCCTTCACAGAAAATACCACTTGCACTCTCTTTCTTTCCCTTCCACTGTCACCATCCTGGTCCCTCCAATGATAACTTGGACTTGACTTTGAACACGCCAAAACTTGCTTTCCCAGGGTCCTTTCATTCTACACCTACTCCCACCAACATTTCTGGATGTAACGTGTCACCTATGTGCAGAAATCAAAGAAAAGTTTTTTAGTTTCCCCTCATGATTCTCAGGCCATGATGTACCTTTCACTACTGTATGTACCATTTGTGTCTGGGTATTTGGAATGGAGAATCAAAAGATAGAGGTTCTCCCTCCACCCACATCACATTCCCAGAGCTGGGTAAAGGGGCCAGAGGGCCATGGTTTGGAGGACCCAGAGTCTTCATAGTGCTGTGGTCTGAGCAGGATGTGTTAAAGGTTCCAATTCCCAGGTCCTCCTCGGAAGGCCCCTTTCCCCTCCTGTCACCTACCCTGCGTCCTCTTGGATTTATGGTACCCTCCCTGGGCCTGCAGCAGCAGCAAACAGAGGAGCAGGATAAGCAACAGAGCCTGGGTTGGCATGACTCTGGCCAGAGTGGAGTGTTCTCAGTCTGGCACAGACTTCTCCGGAGAGTTGGCTGGTTATCCTAGGCTCCTCCTTGCTTCTACTGGCCTTGTTTCCTCCCCTTATCACACGCTGTTCTCTCTGGGACCTGGGCTTCTGAAGAAGTTTCCTGTTCTCATATGATTAACCCCCTCCTTTGCAAACAAATTTTTCCTACTTCTTTAAAAAAAAAAGATTTTATTTATTTATTTATGACAGACACAAATAGAGGCAGAGACACAGGTGGAGGGAGAAGCAGGTTCCCCTGTATCAGAAGCAGCCTGATACAGGACTTGATCCCAGGACCCTGGGATCATGACCTGAGCCAAAGGCAGATGCCTAACCACTGAGCAACCCAGGTGTCCCAATTTTTTCCTAATTCTAATTATTAGATAATTTACAGAAAAAAGAGAAGAGTATAATTTTTTAAAAAAATGATAATCTAACTAGAGAATTCATGTGTGTCTCATTTATTACCATTCTATTTTTGCATATTTAATATAAACAATCTATTGTTTTCTCATATTTGAAATCACCCATCTATTGTTATCCATTTTGCCCCACCCTCATTTAATCAGGTAAATATTTCACAATGTGGTTTTCCATAATTACACACATCTCACTTAAATTCCTATTGTCAACCATTTGCATTATACTAATTACTGATTATCTAGACAATGTATTATATTGAATATTTTCAACCATAAATCTTTTATTTCTGAGATTAATATAAGTGAAGTGGATTGTGTGGGTGCAAGAATTAAGTAGATATGTTAAGTATAAATAAATAAATACACATATATATGCATGTATGCCTGTATAAATAAATACATATATGTATATGTAAAGAGAGAGATGGATAGTTTTGTAACTAAATATGTATAAATCATATTTAACTCAACAGAAGATGAGTGTCAATTTCCTTAAACCTTATAAGGCACCACAGTGTAAGTCTGGAGATAATGGGCATGAATCAACCTTCTATTGTCAATAAAAATTTGAGTAGCAGAGGAATGTTCATACGTTTTGTGCTGGGGCAGATGGGGAGTTGAAACTGACCCCAATATTCTCCAGCTTCGTAACACTGGGACAGTCCTATGACCTCTGTAGACTTAGTCCATTCATTAATTCTTGACACTTCCATGGTGAAGATGAAATAAGATGACATCTTATATACACCCTCATAGTACCTGGCACACAGTAGGTGCTCAATGCAGTACCTTTGTCATGTCTCCAATCTTGCCTCCCAACAATACATAGCAAGTCCTAGGGACCAGAAGGACTCTCTTACCTCATCGTTTACACTGGGTACTAAGATCCAGCCCTGGAATTGGACTCTTAGAAGAGAAACTGTTAGGTCCAGGAGTCGGTGAGATTTGCATGCTTATCCAAGCAGATCTGCCAACTCCACATGGATTGGTAGCAGAGCCAGGAGTAGATATAGGAACTCAAAACAGCCATTTCAAATGAACTACCTCTACTCTCTGAAAGAACAGCAAATGTGGGGAATTTGTTCTGGTATTATGGAGTGAGGAGGTGAATTCTGAGAAGGGAACTTTTCACGTTCTGTGAGGTGGAGGGTCAATCACTCTAACCTTCCTTCAACTTAAATTATTTCTTCCCGTTGACAAGCTCCACTAACCTACTCCCTTGGAGAGAACCCCTCAGCCTTTCCTTCTCCCCTGCCTCCTCTTTTTTCCTTGTTCACCCTAGTGACTGTGGGGAGAGCTCCACAGACTGTCTCCTCTTTCAACATTTTCTGGGTGGGATAGACACACAATCTTACCCTTTAACCTGAGGTCAACTGTAAAGACCTCCCTGTCCTAAAAGAATTCCTAAGGGATGGTTAAATTTCCAACATCGGCCATTTTTTCTTTGAAGATTGGATCCTTTACAAATGCAAATACTGTATGATCTCACATATATGTAGCCAGAAAACCAAGACAGCCCAAACTCATACCTACAAAGAACAATCTAGTGGTTACCAGAGGTGGCAGGTAGAGTGTGAACAAAATGGGTGACAAGGGTCAAAAGGTACCAACTTCCAATTACAAAATAAATAAGTTCTGGGATGTACTGTACAGCATGGTGACAGTAGTGAACAATACTGTATTGTATATTGAAAAGTTCCTTAGAGAATAGGTCTTAAAATCTCTCAGCATGTGGAAAAAATTGTGTAATTGTGTGGTGATGAATGCTAGCTGGATTTATTGTGATGATCATTTCACCATATATATATTGAATCATTATGCTACATACCTGAAACTAATACATGTAAATTATGTCTCAGTTTTAAAAATACAAATATCAGGGCACCTGGGTGGCTAAGTTGGTTGAGAACTGGACTTTTGGTTTTGGCTCACGTCAAGATTTCAGGGTCCTGAGAGCCCCACTCTGGGCTCTGGGCTCAGCAGAGAGTCTGCTTGGGATTCTCTCCCTTTCCCTTTGGCCCTCCTCCTGCTCTCTCTCTCTCTCTCTCTCAGATATACAGATAAATCTTTTTTAAACATTCAAATGCCAATGGAATAAGCAATCACTAGGATTTCTCTAGAGCTCCGGAATGGGGACTATGAGAGCAGACACCAACAACACAACCTTATAGTTTTAGAAGAACACAAGGCACATTACAGATAAAAATTACATGAGCATGTATTATATATGTGTGTACTATATGTGTATATGTATACATATAATCATATAAGTAATAATTTGTATAAATGTATACATAAATTCATATTCATATATGTATATATGAACATATATGCCTGTCTTTTTTTTGCCTGTCTGTTTATATGTATGTGTGTATATATGTGAGTATATATATTATGTGTCTATATAGGTAAGTGTATATATATGTGTATATGTATGAGTGTTCATGCATGTATATGTGTATGCATGTATATATGTACATGTGTATAAAATATGCAGAGAGAAAATAGATTTTGAAGAGGTGTGGGAAGAAGGAGTACATTTTGTAAAATGTTACAATGAAGCTCACGAGTGACATTTGAGTAGTAGGGGTATTAGTATGTTAAAAATCTATAATGGAGTTAAGGGAGTTACCAGACAGAGAGAAAAGTGAGTTTGCCAAGCAAAGATTGCAGTGTAGATTTTGTCTTTATCAAATGAACTTAAAGGAACAATTTATACTTAAAGTTTGAATGAGAGAACCTGCCATTGTTCCACATTGGGTTGTTGCTGTTTACATTCCTTTGTTGAGCCTACATCCTCATGAGCTGTTTAGCAAGTATATGTTGAACACCTATGTCTTTGTAAGCTTTTTAGCAGGTGTATGTTGAACACCTCTGTTCATGGTCAAGACAGGATCAGAGGCCATGGATACTGACAAGTGATTTGTCTGTTTTCCTCTGTCTTTTTCCATGACTATATCTACTGCCTCGTCTTGATTTATAAACAAAACCTGGAAAACCTACAAAAATAAGTGTTTTGTGGTTATCTAGGAATAATACAGAAAATATTGCTGTTATTTTTGGTGAAGAAAATCAATTTTGTATAGTTTATTTCAACCTAAATAAAATGTGAATTTTGTTTTAAAAAAATAAAATAAAATAAAATAAAATATGCAGAGAGCAAAAGCAAGAGTAAAGGCCTGCTGTTTTCCTAAAATCTACACAGCTTTTTTGAAGATCTATTTGCATAGTCCAAAACCAAGTGTGGCAAGAATCCCCAGACGAACCTCCTTGGCACTCTCAGTGACTGTGCTCCTCAAACAGACCACTAGGAACCCCCAACATCTGGACCAGACACAGGGCAGAGCTGTGATTGCCCCTCACAGAACATTATTACCTGGCCATAGAAAAAGAGGTCTTGGTATTCCATAACACAATCATTTTAGGTGTGGCAGCCTTTGTAGTCCCCACCCATCAAAGTTCCCTTCTGTTTGCTCCCACGCCTTTGTACCCAGGTCCCCAGATTCTGCCTTTTGTCTCTATACAGTCTACCCTCCATAGCCAAGTCCTCAGAATCCTGAAATACATTTCCTACTGTTCAGTGCATTTGATGAATCCTAGAAAAAATCGCTTATACATGGATATCTCCAGGCAGTGTATGAAATATTCCTGGACATAGAGTTTGGAAGAATGAAGTCTGCTCCCTGGCAGCCCTGGCCCTTGGCCTCTGGACTCTTTTTTTTTTTTTTCTAATAAGCTCCAAATCATGTGTATGAGTGCCCAGTGCAAAACTCCTCTCTGATATTTGGTGAGCAAAGGCCCCCAGCCCTCAACCCACAAACTTGTGTCAAGACCTAGGTGCTAGATTCGATCACTTTACTTCCCTCATTTGCTGGGTGGCCATCTGCCTTTCCTAAGTCCTTCCTGTTCAGTCTTTTTTTATCCACATAAAACCCCCAAGGCATTTGGTGGGAGATACTGCTATGTTTTATTTTTAATTTTCTTAAGATTTATTTATTTATTCATGAGAGACACAGACTGAGAGAGAGAGGCAGAGACATAGGCAGGGTCCTCCCACGGAACCCGATGTGGGACTCAATCCCAGATCCTGGGATCACGACCTGAGCCCAAGGCAGGCACCCAACCGCTGAGACACCCAGCCATGCCAGTGCTATGCTTTAATTAGCAAAAGAGAATCAATACAGAGAAAGGTGGGATCTTATTAGCACAAAGCAAGTCCAAAGCAAATAGATACGCAAACTGCACTTCAGTCTACCTATGGGGAGACTCAGATGCATCAGATAGACTCAAGACTTGGGTCTGTTTGGATGGCCAGAACTGTTAGTAAGGTACACAGTGTTCTTCTAGTGTAGCAGGATAGGATGTACTGTCATATTAAAGAAAATCCGATCCTTTGGAATGGGAGAGTATCAAAGGAAAAACTCTGTGACATGGCCAAAATGTAGCTCCAGGGCAGAACTTACAGATCTGCCACAATGCAAATCACCATTAAGTTCTAGGCCTTTGAACCTTGTTTTTCTGCTCTTCTGTCCTGGTTCCAGGTCACA